GGGATAGAGTGAGCTGAGGCCGGGCTAGCGTGAGCGGAAGCCCCGGCTTAGCGTGAGCTGAGGCCGGGCTAGAGTGAGCTGAGGTGGCGGGGTTGAGAACGGCGCAGCCGGCGGATCCGACGAAGGAGCCCGGGCTGGACTCCGCTTCGTCCACGGTGAAAGCCGATCCGGGATCGACAGTGCAAAGTTGATGTATTTCCTCAGCAACCAGCATGGATCCGCTCTAGGCATGACGAAGCAGATATCGTCCTCTTTTGGAAGGCCAAACAAAGTAGTTTCGCTTTCACAACGAATCACACAGCGCATTCACAACATGGCGGCAGCAACAATACTACAGCCAGAATAAAAGTTACGCAGTCTTTCTTTGCGTGAACATTTGGGCGGTGTTATGCAAATCTTCCCACATAGTGATGTAGATATGTGGGGGCATGTTAGAACGAGCCGTTTTAGGTAGGTGTGGCTGACTCTTAACTTTTATAAAGAATATCTCTTTGGATTTGAGACTTTAGTCTTTGCAACTTTACAGATCTTCTTTATGCACCAAGAGCTTGTAACACTCCAAAGAGAAAGGAAAACTTGAAATGGCATCAAATGAAAGGGTTAGTTCACCCCAAAATTTAAATTCTTTCATTATTTACTCACCCTCATGTCATTCTAAACCCGTAAGACCATAGTTCATCTTCGGAACAAAAAATAAGCTATTTTTTATTAAATTTGAGAGCTGGCTCGTGCATCAGCAGCACCAGACGAATTCGTCGTGGTACTCTTGTGAATGTGTGTCGAAAACTGACACGGAAGAGAAGAAATTGTTGAATGAAGTCGTTATTTTTGTTTTCTTTGTGCACAAAAAGTATTCTTGTAGCTTCATAGAATTAAGGTTGAACCACTGATGCCACATGGACTATTCTAACGATGTCCTAACTATCTTTCTGGGCCTTGAATGTGGTAGTTGCGTTGCTGTCTATGCAGGGTTAGAAAACTCTCAGATTTAATCAAAATTATCTTAATATGTGTTCCGAAGATGTACGAAGGTCTTACGGGTTTGGAACGACATGAGGGTGAGTAATTAATGACAGAATTTTAATTTTTGGATAAACTAACACTTTAATTTGAGCATTGTCAGTAGATCACCTGCAGAACGTTCCACTCGCATTGGTGTTTTTTTGGAATTGCGCTCTCGTGCTAATTTGCCTTTAGTAAATCTGGCCCAAAATTGACAACTCAAATAGTTGTTTTCTCATGAGGTTGGATTGACTTTTCCATTCAATGGAAGTTGACCATTGGTTTTTGAGCTGTTAAGCTCAAAAAGGATGAAAAGGCACAGTAAATGCATAATAAAAGCCCAACTCATACACTATATTTAATTCATACACATGTGAGAACAAATACACACACACAAGCACACACACCCTCCAACCACACACTCGAATGCAATCATGCACACATATACCTGCAATCATTCAGTATGGATGCCTACACTTTTATATGACCAAATAAATAAATATAGACTGTAAGCATTGAAATAAATGATCTAAAAAAAAAAAAAAGATATAAAAACAACAATTAAATGAAATCGTAGACAACACTTTGGGGGTTCACCAGTTGGTGGTTGGGAAATGGTGCTACAATTTAAATGGTTCAAAATGGCTTCCAAATATCTGTCCACAGTAGTGGACACCATGCATGAAAGGGTTAAATTCAGTACAATGGCTTTGTATGAGGAAAAGACGGAGGTTCAAGTTATTATGCACAGATAATCTTGTTTGATGGCTTTGGAGTTTCATTAAATGGAAACGGAGCTCGGACATCGTTCTATAAATATCTCCTTTTGTATTCCACCAAAGAAGGTAGATCATACAGATTTGTCAGGCGGCTAAGTAAATGCAAAATTTTCATTTTGTGTTGCTTTAAGAAATAGACATGTAGGACAACTCTACACAATATAGACAGGCTAATGCAAACTAAGTGCATGGACGTTTTAAATTTTCTATAATGTGGTTCAGATTGTAGCCTGTGGCTAGGTTTTGAAATCAGTTTAGCACAGCACAAACCAAAGTATCAAAGTTCTTTCTCAACATGGCCGCTGCGCAGATCATAGACAATGCTGGCATCTCATACTCGTTTCCTCACTCCCACCTAACGATTCTCTTCCCGTCTCCCCTGAGTCCGTCTCATGTCTGTGAGATGACTGGGCGGCGCTCCAGGCTTTTGAAGTCTTGCCGCGTAATTTGGGGGCAGACCCACATTATTAAAGCAGACCTGCCGACAGATATATCATTAATGAGAGAGAAAGCTGCGTAAAGAGGAAAGCAGAGTAGCCTTGATCCCAGCGCTAAAATCCCCCAGTGACTCTCCAAGTGAATAAAAACGACCAAACAACAAACGCCTCTTCTGGTTTTAATGTTAAGTTCAGATATCTGAGAAGACATTGTTTTCCTTCTGCTGGTGTTGATAGTAAATGTTATGTTTCATTAAAGGTGACAGGATTATAATTGAGACGAATGTCTTAACGTGTTTTCAGGGTTGGGGAGCAGAGTTCATTATATGCAGAGAAAGATTTTCTTGGGGAATGGGAGGGGGTTTTATTTCCACACTTGCAAAGATTATGGCAATGCTCGTTGAAGTTGAATTAAGACTCCTGTGGAGGAAAAACTCTATTTGTTGGTCTTTTAGAAATGTTAATCTGAAAATGCCGCAAAACATATTGCACATATGAATAAAGTGTTTTTAAACATCATTGATCAAGATCGTTAGCAGAGATGGTCGCAGACGATGAGATGTCACCTCGTCAGTGTCGTGCACTAGATAGGACACTAGTTTTCTCATCAGAAGGCTGCAATCTCACTTCCCCTGGTTGGAAGCCTGATGGGTTCTGCTCTGTAGCCAGCTGTATAAATAACTGCCATGTGAGCGGTGCTCTAGGTAAGGTGTCCCGGATAAGAATAATCAGAGATGAATGTTTCCTGGACTGCAGAGCCTGCTGAGAGGCCATGTTTATGTAAAAAGCACCTCCCAAAGAAAATCACCCCAAAAAACAGACAAAATGGACTCGGAAAGAAGAGGTTTGAGAGGCCTGGTAATTCTATTTGTTTTAAACCATTAACTGAAGCTTGTTTCTAATGTCTAGCTTTGGAGTTCTTGGATGAATTTGGAGGACGGTGCTCAAGACTTGAAGGGAAGGAGGCTAATGTCAGTCTTAGTCATTGGAAAAAGACAAAATCTGTTTAAACATTCTATCTTTCCTTCTTTCCATCTTTGTTTCGAATGGTGCAGTCACATTTACCATTGCTTGGCGAAATTTCGCCAATTCCATTAATTTCAATAGGAGTCCAAGCGTTTGCGTGCTTTGCGTGAGGGCGAAAAAGTTCCCCACACGAATTCATCATAAATTACGAAGTACAATTGTTTGACCATGACATTTCACTAATATGACTGCACCTTTACCCTAATTATTTTTTTTTTTTATTGTCCTCAATAGATTTTGAACAGGCAGATTTCAAGCGGGAAATTGTGTCCATGAATGACCTACACGATGGAATGGTGGTAACAGGCCGTGTAACAAACACTGCTTTATTTGGAGCCTTTGTGGACATTGGAGTCGGACGTTCTGGTCTCATCCCAAAGCGTTTCATCACTCCGGATAAGCTTCCTGTTGACCAGCGGCAAAGAAGCCTAGCTCTCGGCCCAGGTGAGCGGGTAGAGGTACGGGTCATAAATGTGGATCTTCAGAGGAATCGGATCAGTCTGGACCTCATTAGAGTTCTCAGATAGGAACTATTCATTGAAGATTTACTGTAGTCAAGTCTAGTTTTCTACTCTGCTTTCATGTCACGTGAAAAAAAGTTTTGTTCTTGTTGCTGTTGCTGTTGCTTTTTTGTTCTGTTCTACATTTGACCTGCTGTTACTGTAGTTTTCATAACTTCAATAAAATAGATATCTTGCTACGTGAAACTTGACAGGATTATAATTGAAATGAATGTCTTCATCTTCCCAAACATGATGATTCTTGTTGCAAGTGATGCTCTTCCTAAAATATTGTCAGTTTTTTATTCTCAGCAAATTATTAAAATACCATCTGGTAAGATTGACTTAATTTAGGCATATTAAGATGACAGTTGTTAATAAGTTAGTAAAAATAATTGAGTTAAACATTGAGTTAACATTGTCCTTTAAATACAGTTTTTGTTCATTATAAAAATACAATCTTTTTTTCACTCCCTTTCATACCTTTGCAAACCCCAATTTAACAACTTGTGGTATAACTGATGGATGCAATTCTATGCAAAAATGAATGCAGTTAATAATAATATTATTATTTAAAATAATAATACTTAAGAAACTTGTTCTTTTTACATAAGTATTGTTGGTTTTTCTGTGTTTCTGTGACACACTGTTACTGTAGTTTTATTCCAGTACAGCATAATTATGATGCCTGAAGAGGGTGTTTCAGAGGCCTGTGAACCAGACACTAACTGGATGCTGTTGCTATGGACCACTCAGGATGCAGTCGCAGATGTTACGCTACCAAACTCGGGCCTGTTTGATTGACAGCCACTTATCAGGCAAAGAATGGGGGGCTTGTAAAAGCAGCTGCCACACTGCAATATGACTAGAGGCCGTGGGGAAAAAAACGAAACCTAATTATCCTAGACTAGCCACGTGCTAACGAGCCACTTCAAAATTAATCCCACGCTCCCTCGTCTCTATTATCTAATCTGTTTGTGTTTATATGACACAAATTAAAAAAATAGATAAATAAGAAACCTGAGGTGCCCTGAGCACTTAAAACAAACCACAAGGACCAAATTCCAAATGAGTGTGTGATATTTGCATTGGGGACGTTGCTTTGTATTACAGAGAAGTTTCATCAGAACTCAGCTGCAGCGGAAGGATTGAAGCCTCATTGCATGATCAGGTGTGGTGGATTTTACATTGTTTTTATTCACCAATTCTGCAGTAATAAGCTACATTTCTTTTTTTTCTCACTATCATTTGTTGACTCAAGCTGCTAAAATTATTGTTTATGGATGGTATCTCTTTTTCCATATCTTAATTATTTTAATGTCTTTTGTTTAATGTCTTTTAATGTCTTTAGAACAGCTGGTCTTTACCACTGACTATATGGCCATGTGTGTGAAACTCTTATCTTATTTACAGATTTCACCAGACCATTTTCTGGGATTTTATCAGAGCTGCATTTCCTAAAGTCAGATAAAGAACATGTGTGTGGATTTATGTGCATGTGCTGCATTTTATGTTAAAACATTTCTCAATCTTTCCCATTACATGTTTTTTCATTAGCTGAATTAAGAAAAGCACAGGGCTTAGATGTAATTTATACATCTGGTCCAACCATGCAATGTCTTTGGCGATGATTATATGTGGAGAATGGGTTTTGAAACTGGCAGTTTATGATGTGATGAATGCAGAAACCCAGGGCAGAGTACCACTGTACCAAACCCACATACATACTGGAAAATTTTGGAAGTGACAGTTGTGTTTAAATGCAAGCGTGAATCCCCCAAATCACTGGTTCTCAACCAGGGAGCCAGGGTCCACTAGAGGGCCTCAGTAAATGTTTAAGTGGGCCTCAAGATGGCTTAAAATGAGACAAAACAATAATTAAAAAAGCTAAAACAATTTAAAATCAAGATATTACTTATTTTATTGACTGTTTTTCATTGAAGAACCAGGATTCTTGGAACAAGAAGTCTCGGAAAACGTGAATATATGAGAAATTGTAAAAGTGTGATTTCTAGACCTGGTAAACTCATGGAAATTGAAAAGTCTTAAAATTATTTTTTTCATATTTCTTTTAAAAATCCTTATCCTTAATCTTTATCCGTAAATCATGAACAATTTGAAAAGTCACGGGGTCTTTGAATATTGTTGTGAACAATGGGTGGCTTTGGAGTCAGTCAATAAGGTTGAGAATCGCTGCTCTAAATGATCATTTAGAGTGTGAACAGAATTCTGGAGTCACTCCTGAAACTGCAGTGATTGACATATGATCACCATACCAACTTAGTGTTTGTGAACTTGCTTTGCTTTTGGCATCTGCTCTTTTTGAGGAAAGAAATGTTTGCAACCATTGACTTTAATGTCAGATTGAACACTGAACTTACTAAACTTTGTGCTTGGATTTAAGGGATTCTAGACCGCCGTTGCTTCAGTGTTTTACTAATTGTCCACACAGGAGAATGAGGCAAATTTAAATGGACATGTCAAAGAGACGCACACTGTTAAACTGCATATAACAGCTCCTCCAGCCAAGAGCAGAACACTTCTCTCCTTTACAGTAAATCAAAGACAAGTCCTACAACTTCCACAGCCACACACAACTTCCACACTTGAAGAGTGTTCCAACTGCACCCACTGCTGCCGTCATCAAACACACGCAAATGAACATACCACTAATGTGCCTGGACACTGAACTTCATGATTGAATCATTGAAAGCCTGTTCTGTATGCTTGTAAAAGCTTCGTGTTAGTTGTGTGGATTTCCCATGAAGCCAATATTGCGGTATGGTTGCAGTAAAATCTAATTAGCCTACCATCCTACAGAAGAAAAACACTATGAGTGGTACTGGAATTTTACTGCAAAAGTACTTTGTGTTGCCCAAGAGGAGTGAGTTTATATGTCCCTTTAGAGAGTTCTCTGTGTTCCCAGTGTTAGTTTTTGCACGGGGTTCGATCACTCCGTTGGGAGAGAGAGACGGTTTGTACTTTTTGAAATGAGAGTGAATGGCCATAACTTGTGGATATGGTGCCTTTCAAGGGTATTAGGTTTTAGCTTGTTAAGAGTGTTAACAGTGAGGAGTGAATGATGAATATATTATATTATATTATAATTAATATAATATAACGTGGTGATATAGGTAAGATTTTATGTTTTTGAAAGTTTGCAAAACGTCTCATATGCAAATTAATTCAATCACAAATACAGTAAAAATAGTAATATTGTGTGTATATAATTGCAAATATTATTACAATTTACAATAACTTTTCTATTTTAAAATATTTTAAAATGTAATTTATTTTTGTGATGTCACATGATCCTTCAGAAATTCTAATATGCTGATTTGATGCTCAAGAAAATTTTTG